AAGCATATGTTCTATAAAAGTCATGTTCACGACGTACTTCATATATTATAATACTTGTAGGCAGAAGATGAGTAAATGTTTGCACCACTCATTATGGAAATTCATTTCTGATCTCTGTTTGGTAAAATAATTTTCTTTGAAGTTGTAAAGCGATACTTATACAATGCACATTACGAGCTGTTCAAAACGTGATGGTTGAAGCTTTGAAAATTATAGTTTGAGGTCGCTCACCGAATCAAAAGTCGTATCTGTGGGATCGTAAAACCTATATATCTCGTCAAAGATTGTTGACTTAGGATTCCATTCTGGATTCTCGACTTGGCACCTAGAAATACTGTTGTTACCCAAATCGTTCCCTATCTGATACGATGACAACGTTGGATAGTCTTGTTGTGTTGATTTTGATCTTAAAAAATATTTTAGAACTCTGGAAAAAAAATCAGTCAACAATGATTTTCGAATGGGAATCGATTCTTATGGCTTTATTAGACGATATAAAAGGGAAAAATAAAGTTGAAAGTTTTATAAGTGTTTTAGAGAGAGATATTTTTATTTTTAGCGTAAAAGCATATTTTCAAAGATACGCGCAACATTTACTCTTACGGAATATTACCATCCAAAATTAAAAAATGAAAACTCCTCTAAAGCAATCAAGTACTGTAGTGGTTAAGAAGTCTTTTTTATTCTGGATGAAGTATTTTAATATTCAAATAAAGTTCTTAATTTGTTGATATGCCTTGATTTTCATCAGATCGACAGAAGTACCTTATGGTATGAATTAATTTTAGTCTGCAAGTTTAGCCGATTTAATCATGATTTTAAATAGTATAAAATTATAAATATTAAAGTTCTGCATGGATTTTGAATGTTTTAAAGGTATTCAAGGAAACTAATATGTCGCAAACAAAACGTAAATATCTGTGTGCAAGCTTTACGTAGTAATTAAAATAAATAAATAGATTCACTCAGTCAGAATTCAAAGCATTCACTTGAAAGTTTGACATGATAAAGCGTTTCTCTTCTTGTCAAATACTAGACTGCATTGAAAATTGGAAATTTTTTTTCCTCCAAACAAGTTATTCGTACGAGTAGCAATTTTTCATGAAGCATATTTTTTACAAATTCCAAAATATCGAAACAAATTTTCCTCATTATTTCAGATATCTCAGCAATTATCATTTTGAGCAAGAAATCTTCTTATTCAACTTAATAAAGTTCAATAAACTGAAGCAAAATTAGTAAAGAAAAAGGTTCATACAAATTCTTTATATTTACCTCACTATTTCATTATTCATTAATCGCGTTTTCTGCATACTTAGATGTTGGTGTCCTCGAAAGTCTTTTGAATTACATTTAGAGCAACATCTCGTGTTACGCTTTGTTATATTTTTGCTGAAGTTTCCACGTCGTTCACGTAAATATGCAATTAGAAGGCATGAAAATGCAGCTGATGTAGCAAAGGCAATTGCTGATAGTACTATCAGGCCAACATCAACCAAAGCGTCAGATGTACTATTCAAAAGATACGGGAATTCACGTGTATCAGATTCTGACAACTGAAATTACGTATTAAACTTTTATGTATTTCACACAATATAACTATACATAACTAAAACTTTATGAGAAATTTTCGAAACTCAGTGAATTACATGCTAATACAGTTTTAGTGAAAACAAATTTAATTGCATTATATCATATTTTTGAAGGTAACTAATTTGTAAGTACCAAAAATATCTTGAAATAATTGCTCACTTGTCCAATAATGGCATACTGCTCATTACAGGAGCACCACGGGCAAGTTGACTCATATTTTTGCACACTTATCATTGCGGTAAAGCATCTACCCGTCAGATTCAAAGTAACTTTTTCAGGCTGTGGTACTGAATGCATCATCGAAGTAATAATTTCATTTTTTATTAAATGAGTGGAAAAGTTTTGCTGAAAAATTGAAGCACAAAAAGTATAAAAGTAAACACAACAAAAAAGAGCAAACAAAGTTTTGATATCTGAAAACAACAAGCAAGAGCAAATTTTAATAAGCAAAAAAGTGTTAGAATAAAACTTGAAAATGAATTCGAAAAAATGTTGAACCTTAACATCGAAAATACGAATTGCTTGAGTTGAATCACAGGTTCGAGCAAATCCATAGATCGGATCTGTGCCAACTATTTCATAATTAAACGTAACATCTGCAGGCCTTCCTTTATTCCAATAACTGACAAACGAGTGTGAAGAATCCCAAAAAATAAAAAGTATCACTTCAATATTTTTGAAATAAATTTTTCCACAAGAAAAAAGATGAAGAACCCGTCAATTCTTAAATATTTATGTTGTAATCTAAAAAATGATTATAATTAATTTTTTGAAGTCGAATAAGAGTTATAGAATGTAAAAATTTTGCTTGAAACAAACAAAGTATTCATGGATAGACCAGCTGGATGCGATTCTTTCATCACTGATTAGATTCCACTGAAATAAAGTTAGCCGAGAATCAGCACATCCTGCGGCTGCCAAACATCCTTCAGTCAATTCTACCGAAATTGGCTCAACAGTTATCCAAAATGAAGTGACTTTTGGTTGGACGAAACTTTTTTGAGTAGATGACATGCAACATGTCAATTGTTTTCGAGACATTAAAGCTATTAAAGCAATTAATAGGGAACATTTGATCATAGCAAAATACCCTGCAATCGACATCAACATCACAGTCAGAGTATAAGAACAGAAAAACGAATTTTGTAATTGTAATTTCAAAGATATTCCTGTATGTAGTAATTCAACAAAATACATTCCTCTAATGACAATCATTTTAAGTTGGATTATTTTAAACAAACTGTCATTTTAGAAAGATGGCAAAGACTTACAATTTGTTAAGCAAAAATATTTCCACTCTAAACATTTAGTCAAATTAATTGGTTTCAATGACAGAAGAACAATGATGATGCAGTCAGACTGTGATGATTTAATCTTAATGGATTAATTGTTTTTTGTACTTGAACACTATGCAATTTCTTTAGGTATCATATAAAACTGGATAAGAAATGAGTTTAAATCAATTAAGAGCTTTTTTAAAACAAAAGAAACTTTTCTCAATCATAATCTTTCAAGATTTCACAAGAGCTTTCAAAATTCTATTCAAGATCAGAATTTGTTTATCATTTCTGATTAATCTCTGTGAAGCATATAATTTTCGTAGTCACATCTCTTGAATATGTTTCTCGAAAAATAATGCTAAAGTATGTTCTGTCCAACTGAAATTAAAAAATCGAAAAAAAAAATTTGAATAATTCGTGTGACATAGCAGCAGTTCTACCAAAACTTTTGGAGAGACTTTTAATTTTGACTGCTTGAAATAGGAGTTCATCCATCATAATTCTTTAATAATTCAGTGCTAGAAATCAAAGTCAAAAGGTGATTGAATTTGTTTGCAAAACGAATGCAAAAATTCAACTTTGCTATGATCTCTGTGAGAAGTAACTGCTATGTTTAAAATATTCCAAGTCTTACTCACAGCTAACAGTTCAAAATGAAGCGATTTCAAAATGATTAGCTTGAATGCAAAAACTTTACACATTCTACATCAAATTTTTCACATCATTCTGCTTTTCAGCGCCTGAAGATTATCATTATTTGCTAATTTTGTTGTATAAGTCAATTTTAAAGTGAGTAATCGCTTGACCTATAATTGATCAATTTTTTAGTCAGTTAAAGGTCAAGCGATTACTTTTACTATTACTAGATTATGCTTTTTAAAAATCTAATTTCTATTCCCTTTGTGCGCTGGGGAAGTTTTTAACAACGTCACAAATAGAATGCTTGAAGAAATGACGGTAATGCACAAAGGGAATAGAAAAAAAATTAGTAACAAATATTTCAAGAATGAAATCTAAAATTAAATTAATTTAAATAGTCGCAAATATATTAAAAAAAGTTATCTTCCTTTCGCACAACTATTAATTTGTTAAACAAACAACTATGCAGACATTTTGATTACTAGATTTTTATCAGTAACGCAACATAATAACATTATAATAATATTTAATTTGCGCAAAATTCACAAAATATGTAACAGTTTGAATGTATACAATGCATTTCAGCAAAATAAAGGTCATTAAGATCGTTTAATTTGTTTATTCAGCCTTAAAACAATGTCTATCTTTGCCAAAGGTCAAATTTCATATTGAATGCAATAAAGTTTCGCTTTGATTGTGTGAGGGTGAATAATTAACTGCTGAAGCCAATGATGAATTTGCCTTTCAGAACTATACAAACATTCGTGAATGGAGCAAAAACTTTGATAATTACGGTGTATTCCGACACATATTGCTATTTATAGGATATTAACGAATATTAATAACATCCATTGATGAGGAATTTGATATCGCTCAAAATGACGTCACACTTGAAAAAATAATTTTAGATTTGTATTACTGCGTGTTTTTAACAACAGTTATTTGCTTAATTGTGCAATTTTTAGCGTAGGCTTGGGATGAGCGAATGGAATGGAATGGAATGAAATGCTTCGTAATTTACTTTTCACTGAAGTACAACTTTCATTCAACAAAAAATGACTTATTATAAAGGTGAATGTCTGAATAATGTCTTCAGGTTTATACCAATAATTTATTCATTCACTACTTCCGGTGATAAATGGCGCAACATTTACGATAACTTAATTTTTGCTTGTGAATACGTATAAAAATAACCGAATAATATTAAGTAATTGAAAAAGTTGAAAATTTAGCAAATTTCTGTTTACAAATTATATCAGTCTTGTTGTAAATCGACAACTTTGGTAGTTACATGCTAATTGGCAAAAGCAGCAAATTATTGCATTTTTTTCATTTCTAATGCAAATTAATAAACGACTTTCGATTTTATTAGCTTTTTGATGCTTTTGATTTTTAACAATTAGCATTAAGTGCCATAAGATTTTATGCCAGTGAAGTAAATTTTGCTATGAAAAAAAGACTATTTTAAGTTTAATCTTTGAAATGATTCATTATTTATTTAAATAACCGTAATATCAAAAACAATGGAATGAAGTTATATGCATAGCTTGCAATATTTGCGTTTCATATAAAACAAAACGAAAAATGAGTAAAATTTTATGTTTCGATAGTATCAAAAGTTCACCGTATGAACCTTACTTTATCATAATTAATATTGGCTTAATCTGTCAAATTTGACAAGAAGAGTTTTCAATCTAACGCAAATTTTGCTACGTTTGATTAAAAGGATATGTTATAAATTTTAAGCCAAAATTATAAGATCTTATGAAAAATAGAAAATTAAATTGAAAACTATGTAAGCTAGAGTTTGAAATAAATATGAGCTATGCAAATTAATTTCTTCAGATTTATTGAAATTGGTCCTCCCACTTTTGTGAATGTCAATTGTCGACGGTCACTAATACTCTTGTATAGCAAGCTACTGAATTTTTTGAATGAATTTTTTAAGCTCAACTTTAAATGTGCTCAAAAGTTTTGCATTGTATTTTAGTATAATTTGGCAATTATTCAAGCACTAACTGACATAAAATAATAAGTTAATAAAGCCTTTCAAGTATTTTAAATATTTGTTTGTAAATCAACTTTTCAGTTGGTCAAAGTTTTCAAATTTTTTTGGCACATCTGAACAGATTAAAAAGCTTGTTAGCAAATGAGAACTTAACATAAAGATGCCCAAAAACTGTTTAAATCAATTCCATATTCAAATTAGTATGTAAATAATATTCTTTATTCATCACAAACTGCTGCAAATATTAAAAAAGGAAATGAAATATATTAAGTAAATAAGTGATATCTAAACAAAAATTTAAGCTAGCAAAGTTAGATGTGAGTGATTTAATGACTCAGTTATTTCATTCCTATGCCGATAGTATAAATCTAAAAGCAAATGCTTTCTCGTAATTAACTTTTAACCGCTTCATTTCCTGGATGTTTTCAAGCTAAAGCGAACACGAGGGAATATATGATTAGCAAAACAGAACAATAGTCGATGGCAACAAGTTCAATTTCACACCACACAAAACTTTTCAAATTGTAATATTATATTATTAAACTTTTCTCACTAGCAGAGTAATCTTGCAAATTTGACTCATTTCCATCTGATTTGTTCATTCTTAATTTAATACAGAGTCTTCAATAATTAATAATCTTTAGGTCGAATTATGTTCTAAAGTTTATTGTTCTGAAAATCCTTCATATCTGTTTATTTTGTTAGTTTAACCCTATGCAAGTTCTTCCTATAAAATTAGATTAGGAAAAAGTTGAGTCTAATTAACAGCTTTTTAAAAACAAAAGAAATATATAAAACAGTGCAAGGAAAGAGGGACTGCCAATTAGATACAAATTATCTGTTGTTTTTGCTGCTCAAAATGTTAGTTCCAATACTTGGAAACCTTCTGCTCTTCACGAATTCTAATTCAGTTATCGTTTACAGATTTCATTTGTTTGCTCTACAAATTACTCAGTTCAAAACACAACTTTCTGAAATTACTCACTGCAAAATTTGAAATGAAATTGCATTCAAACAAGCAATCAAAAGTTCAGCAGAAGAAAGATCATTTTGCACTATTATTGTTGCTGATATGTTTGCATACAAATATGGCAAGTCAATTTGAGATCACTAATTACCTGCAAAAAGATAGTTCGTCATGACATTTAAGTCCAACTATTGAAAAACATTTGCAGCAAATATGTGAAAAGGTAAGGAAACATAATTAAAAAGTTAAAAAGGAAAATAATGTACACGCATTTCTGTAAGTTTATGCTGCACAAAGTTTTTACAGCCCAAGTAATTTAATTCAAATTCTGTTTGCATAATTAGCGTTGCTTTCAACTGCAAACGAAAGAAATGCTTCAATAAAAAACTTCTCATTGAGCTTTTTTCACATCTCAAAGAACCTTTCAAAAACGTTAAATATTTCTGCTATCAACCACTCACACTGATATGAACTACGCACACAACAAAAGGATTTTAATTTTCTATGTGACCTTCAAAGTTTCGCCCTCAGTAAACTTCGCGATTATTTTTTGACAGATTTCTTACCCAATAAGTAAAATATTGAAGCACTTCCTTTAACTGTAAATGTTCAATAACTTGCTTGCCTTCAACAGAAGAAAATTTTTCTAAATTCATAATTATATTGACTTATTTGAGCAGAAATGTCTCTCCAAAATATCAGTGCAAAAAGAAGATTCAAAAAACTTCTACAGTTGTACTTCTGGTCATTTCAGTTCGAAGACTGCACTTATTAATAGCACGCTTATTATTGTGGAAAAACGATGATAATTTTAACTGCAATAAAAATAATTATATTAAGTACATTTAGCGATCCTAATAATGATGATTGATACAGACATTACTATACTATTATTTTAAACTATGACAGTAATACATAGAGACCGTAAAGTCAAATCTTATTTTGATAGCAGTTGACATAAATCACTTTTTTTGAATCAATTAATTAATGGATAATAAAGTTATTTTGTACCTCCTTCTTCTTTGGAGTGATTTCTATCCAGAAATGATTAGATATCGATACAATAATTTAACCCATAATATAAGCTAAAAGTTTCTAAAATACATTACTGGCAATAATTAGCAAAAATTTTTTCTTTTTTAAAAGCAGTTTCTTATCTCATAAATTTTTGATAACTAGCAAAACTTTATTACAAAAGTAATAATTTCAAATTAGT